TGGCCACTTTAGACGAGCTAATGTTATCCCTGGCCGCTGTAGACGAGCTAATGTTAGCCCTGGCCACTGCAGACGTGCTAACGTTAGCCCTGGCCGCTGCAGACGAGCTAATGTTAGCCCTGGCCGCTGCAGATGGGCTAACAATAGCCCTGGCCGCTGCAGACTGGCTAACGTTAGCCCTGGCCGCTGTAGACGAGCTAATGTTAGCCCTGGCCACTGCAGACAGGCTAACGTTAGCCCTGGCTGCTGCAGACGAGCTAATGTTAGCCCTGGCCACTGCAGATGGGCTAACATTAGGCCTGGCCACTGTAAACTATCTAATGTTAGCCCTGGCCACTGCAGACGTGCTAACGTTAGTCCTGGCCACTGTAAACAAGCTAATGTTAGCTCTGGCCACTGCAGATGGGCTAACATTAGGCCTGGCCACTGTAAACGAGCTAATGTTAGCCCTGGCCACTGCAGACCTGCTAACGTTAGTCCTGGCCACTGTAGACAAGCTAACTTTAGCCCTGGCTACTGTATATGAGCTAATGTTAGCCCTGGCCACTTTAGACGAGCTAATGTTATCCCTGGCCGCTGTAGACGAGCTAATGTTAGCCCTGGCCACTGCAGACGAGCTAACGTTAGCCCTGGCCGCTGCAGACGGGCTAACGTTAGCCCTGGCCGCTGCAGACAGATTAACGTTAGCCCTGGCCGCTGCAGACGGGCTAACGTTAGCCCTGGCCGCTGCAGACGAGCTAACGTTAGCCCTGGCCGCTGCAGACGAGCTAACGTTAGCCCTGGCCGCTGCAGACGTGCTAACGTTAGTCCTGGCCGCTGTAAACGAGCTAATGTTAGCCCTGGCCGCTGCAGATGGGCTAACATTAGGCCTGGCTACTGTAGACGAGCTAACTTAAGCCCTGGCCACTGTATACGAGCTAACGTTAGCCCTGGCCGCTGCAGACGAGCTACCTTTAGCCCTGGCCGCTGCAGACGGGCTAACGTTAGCCCCGGCTGCCGTTACCCTCGGAGCTCTGCTGGTTGCTGCGGTCCTCTCAACATTCGAAGATTTTTTTTCAATTACGCTCTAAATCAGTAAACATATAGTGAAGCTCAACGTAAGATGTTCTCGCCTCAAATGATCTTAAAACATACTTTTATAGAAGAACGGCTACTGAAAAGTGAACTTGGCTACTCGTTGGCTAGT